TCCCAGCTTTGGTGTTAACCAGTAATATTTTGTAATATTATAGATTAGTTGTGAATTGTGTATTTCTTAGAACAATATAAACACAAAGTTTTACCTATTTTATTTTGGACTTTCATTGAACACACGAACTATTCTGGAGTCAAGTGAATTTAAATAAGAATACACACCAACATTCTAAAACCAAAATGAATATTTTATTGATATTGTTTGGAATTGTAAGTATTGTATTTTTGTGTGTTTTAACTCTTTTAGTAGACTACGTTATATTATTTTCATGATATAAATAAAACTATATTAATCTACCTTGTTCCTATATCGGGATAAATATAAGTCCTACTATTGTGCTGTTCAAGCAGTAATTTCGCAGAAGGCGACACAAGTTGCGCATGTTTTCGGCTTAAATCTGTCAGATCACTTCATTTATTTATTTTATCCTTTTAAATAGTGCGGCGTCCGTGAATACCTAATTACGTAGTAATAAAATTAAATAAACATTTATTTAAATTTCCTATAATTTCATTATATTTAATATTTATTAAAACAATGCACTCTGTAGGTAATTATTGTAAGTGTCAATAATTATTAGTATTAGTGATATTCGTATTATCTGATATTAGTTTAACCCAATATAGCCATTATTTTCAAGGCCCAAATTGGACATAAATTATAGTTTTTTTACGGTATAAAAGCCCCATCAATCACTATACGGTTGTGCGGCCAACTATGGATGGAACATACTTGACCATAAGCAAACTATTAACTCGGGGCTTGAAGGTTCCATTAGGCCAAAAATACATTTCTTTTAAGGGTTCCCCCCTTAAAAAAAATGTAAACCAACCATCGAATGTTTTCTCCCGCCTGAGTGAGGCGGGAGGGACTGTCAGATTCTTACTGACTAAAAACCACCCCGTTCCTACTTCTGCACTTCGAGCCGGAGCCCCGGTAACCCGTTAAGTTCTCCGCGGCTCCGAATCGGCATCAGCCTTATTGGTCCTTATCCGTGGTGGTCTGATGGCTCTTTGAGGCGCGCGCGGAACACGACGCGCCGTACGCTCGGGTCTGGTTCTGGTCGGGCGGCGAACCACGCGTGCTCGCCGTCCGCAGGAAGCCAAGGATACATTAGGGGACGAATGTCCAAAGACATGTACCATCGACATGTCAAAGGAAGCCGGCCGATTTCGCCTGACATATGCATATGGCAACAACTTATGTTCATAACGTCATGTTGATGTTGCCAGTCATGTCGACCAAAGTCCAGCAATGTCACGCTACTTCACCCTACTTCGCGGGTGACAGGTATCGCAGGACATTTGTAATGTACCTATCCTTGGTTTTAAGATATTGTTTTGGAAAATAATCTACTTAAAATAAACAATAGATACCGTAAAACACTTCGTGTTAGATAAACACACGATAGAATATCCATCAATCTACCATAGAGTAGTGCGATGGTGAAAAATGCACGCGAAGTATATTATGCACAAATATTCCCCACATCATGTATTATTTTATTATTTTGTCAGTTTCTTAGAGTTTTACTCACCTACATACTTAGTTCGCTTGACGTTTTGTAAATATATTTTTTTAAACGGCTGTTTTCTCCTATATTGAACTCATTGCTTCGTGTTACTTATCTTCATGAACTACAATATATATGTACATAGTAAGTAGGTACATAGATTAAAAATAAAAAAGTATTTAGGAAAAATGTATAAAGTGATTTTATTGAGAATTTCTCATTAAGTACATATTTTTGTAATAGGTAACAATGTTCTAAAGTTCTGTTGACATTTTAAACAATAAATATACATATTATATAAGTACAACTATATCATATACATATCTCTATTTAACACAGTTTATGTACCGTAAATAACATGATTTGTGTGCAACGGAAATACACCAAACATTTACATACTTCATTAAATAATACATTAGATAAACGTATTTTCACTACAAAAAATATGTATAAACATAATTGTATAAATATTCAATACAATACGCATTATATTCGCCAAATGACAAAATCTTTTACTACATCTATATCAAAGTGACGAATTATTACATTCTGACTCCAAGGTAACCACAGAAAGTACATATAATTATTATACTTGACAGATATAATTTTATAAATACCACACCTGTGACGTGCGACAAAAATACAAACACGCTGTAAATAACATCTATAATTTGCATAATGCCTGGACAGGGTAGACAACATCATAATATTTGTATCATAACTGGATAAAGTTTAAGGGGATATTTATTAAATAGTCCTTGAATGAAGTAATATTGCAAATAGAAGAATCAAGGAATTGAATGCACGATTATTATGCTGTATTGGAGTTTTTGTCGAAACAGAGGAATATATAAAAGTTGCCATGTCATCTTGATTAAACCATGTGAATAAGTGGATACCCCTTAAAATTTATAATCAGTTACTATATCACCAGTAATGGTACTATACACCACAAACAACGCAACGTCCATTGGTTAAACCCAGCAGTGCACTCGAACCTCTCTAATTCTACGAAAATAATTAAATATTTATTTTTCAATATATTTCAAATTACTTATCACATTTAGTATTTTTTGATGAAGCTTATAATAACGAGATACTTCTTCACACTATAATAAACAATTACTATTTTCTATTATAATATAGAGCAGGTACTATTTTGGCTTTAGTGAAAAGATTACGATAAAAATTGTTCACGATAATGCGGTGCTGCACTTGACAAACCTAAACAGTATCTGATATTATAGAGGTAATTATAAGTCTAAATTAAAATAATATTTAAATAAATTCATTCTCAACAATAAAATGCATATATGTATATAATTTCAATTATGTTTATATAGTCTGGAGAATTATAAATGTCGACACCGCAATACCGCTAACTTTTCTATGCTATGACTTTTATAAAATTCTGGATGTAATAATATTTCTGAAAACTTATGCAATAACTACGATTGGTCGTCTTATAAAGCCTACTGGTTTAATGAAGCTATGTTGAGAAAAATATCGACATTGAGCCGGGATTACTGAGCAACTCTGAGTATATAATATGGTGAGTGGGTAATTAAATGCTTTGTATAGATATCATATATAAAAAAGTATCTAGTAACATAAATTTTGCATTGAAAATTCCCGTAGAATATAATTACTATTGAATTCTGTATGTAATTTAATCGACGAAAATATCATGAATTAATAAATACATTTAAAACCTTTATATATTTATACCGTAAGGACATTTTTTTTAATTTTCGTGATTATTTCTATGAGCAGAGTTTAATGTAAAATATATCGATTTAAGTAATATTTTGAAAATTGATGTTTATTTCAATGAAAAATTCAATTACACACAACTCTTAGTTTTTTTCTAGATATAGTTTCCTACTGCTAATGAGGGCCAGAATAGACATGATCTTCATTTTGATGTTCGCATAGCCACTTACGATACAACAAGAAGCAGATCACATTTTGTTGTTAACTAAAGCGGGAACAATGCAAGAAACATTAAAAAAGCTAATATATTATTCTTTTAACACAGAAATATATGCGTGAGTGTATTTTCATACAATATATACGTAAACCACGCACATAGTTAAAACACGCACAAGAATGAAATGCAACGCCTATTGTAAACTCTTTGGTGAATACAGAACACATTTTTAAATTATTTATCTATGATACCTATGTTCTTTTTTCAAACCTACAGTTATATTGTATTCATTTCAAACGCTGAAGTATTAGCGATAACATCGTGTAAACATATTTGGGTATATCTATTTCTCAATAATATATCATACATACATCTCAGTTATACAATATATATATAATATGTATAGATATTTAATGCACAGGCACACTACGCCTAAAATCGTGGGTACTAAGTCCCTCATTTCATTTTAAATCTTATTTATAAGTTAAATAGAGTATATTTTATTTTGATACATAATCACATTATAAGACGTGTCGTCTTTTTAACATTCAATGTTGGTGTTTATAATATTTTTTTATAATTTATAAGTTATAACATCTATTTGATCCGCATTTAAGCTAACCTCTTATCTTTCGCTTTGACTGTATTATTTATATATATATTTCATTTACAATAACACGCATGTAGGCATGCAATTTGATTATAATTCCTTATGTATAATTTTCAAATGCATATATTGTAACGACTATAATTATGATTTTCAATTATTAATCTAATTGTAAACATGTTTTACATATTTGTATAGAATTTGTGTATATATTTCGTGCGTTTTGTCATAAATTGACGTTTTCTATTTGAAATGATTATGCGATGAATATATTTTAGTATATAAAATTCTTAATTAATTGGTTGGACATTATTATAATAACAGATATATAATTTAAATTTCTATGTAAAGTAGATTCATAATAAAGTTAACTACATTCGTAATATATTCGAAAGAATCATAGACTTCGTATTATTTAAAAAAAATGCTAATATTTAGCTGTTATTCATAGGAATAATACTGTTATAATTACGTTCTGAAACTATTTTTTATAACAAAAAGTATAATAAGTAGGTGTGTAATTACTATTTTTTAAATATGCCAAAGCTAATATGTATGTAAAATGTTATGAAATCCTGAGATATTTTATAATCTATCTTAAAAACATTCAATGTATGAGTGAATAATGGGTACGTACCAGTTACAAATACATACAAAATTGTTCCTTACATCCTTATATATGAAGAGTATAATCAAGACGTTCTAGAATAAATGTCAGTGTCATACATCAAGGTACAATATAATATATCAATATTCAATAAATATCCTTTCTAGTATCATAATTCTATCTCACAAGTATTGTGCGCTCCAAGTCTTCATCATCATTATAAATACTACAAAACGTTATCGTTTAAACTTCCAAAATGAGAAATTAACATCTAAAACATCATCAGCCAGAAAACAAGCGTCAGCAAAGAGTATCCGGTTAAAAAAGTACCGCATTCAAACATTACAATTCCCGTTCTCACTTAATACGAATAATGTAAGCTTTTAATATAACAATGAAGAAATTACATTTGAGATTCGACATATATCGCCTGTACACGCGTACGTCACTTACCAAACTCAGTCGAAACGTGCTGGTAGTGCAACCGAGTGAAACATCACGCCACGAACGGAGACAACTCGAAGTACTCCTTTCGGCGGCAAAGCAAACCGCGTGCTAACAACGAAAGCGACACGCACCGGACATCAACAGGGGTGCGGGCCAGGGTAGGGCCCAGGGGGCCGGCACCCAGGGGCCGGGGCCTGGGGGCAGGGGCCCGGGGGCCGCGGGGAACAGAGGCTCAGGCGTGCGCGCAGGCCGCGCGCTACGTCACCGCGCGTCAGGAGTCCAGCAACACGTGCCAGCGCTGCACCTGCATGTTACAATAGACCTCGCTATTAAAACCGTATCTTCAGTAACACCATGCTATAAATTAAAATTGTAAATTCCACTGCAAGAGCCAACGATAGAAAACTGTTTTTACATAAAAATCATGGCACTAAATCAATCTCATGTAGCGGTCGATGACATCGTGATCATGTTACACAATACAATTTTAAAGGAAATGCAAACAGAAATGGTTCTGCTAATCCTTAACTGACACTCTTTATACGCAGTATCTTACCTGTTCTCCCTGTCGCTCGCACAGTTCTTGCCAGTGCCTCTCCTCCTCTCGCCCCGAAGGGCTGTGTCCCAGGGAGAACCAGCCCACCATCTCATTACGCTTGACGCTGCGCCGCCACCACACCGATACCATCAGCGTCACTTCGGTCAGTTGGAATAAAGCTACCTGCAAACCAAAGATGTTAAGCTTTAAAAGTTAAAAAGTAGATACATAAAATATGATCAAATGATGAAAAACAAAATGACTACGATATCTTATTTTTTAAATTCAGTGTTGCCCTGAACATATGTAAATAACGTTTTAATTGAGTCGATAAAATGAAAAATAATTGAAGACTTTGAAGCACCTTATGTATTACTAAAATAGTACAACATATTTTATTAAATTTCTTGGTTTTGCGCAATAATGGCGCAATGGATCTGTTCATCGAAATGAGAACGGGAACACAAAATAACATCCACTACAAACTTCTTCCTTTGGTACTTATGTAGCAGATGTCTGACCTGAAATATGAAGAGCTCTTTATACAACGGGTTGGACTGCGCACGTCGCGTGGTCGACTTGCAGCGCCCCATCTCCATGCCTAGAGAGCTGATGAGGCACAGCTTTACGTAAGTATCCGGGGCCTTATTGGGAGACAGCTTGCGGAAGTGGGTGCCTTTTATTACCTGTAATAAATGATATAGTAATATAAATATATGGACAAAGAAAGTTAAATTTTAACATCAATCTCTTTCTCTTTCAAAGAAGGTTCGACCCGTGGTTTGTATTGGCTATGTGCAAAGCGAGTAGTGACGGACAGATAACGACCGCAGCGCACAACACGGCAGAAATTGGAAACAAATGCGGATGATGCAAACCCGGATTTTATTATTATATTCATTTTACAGTTAAACTATTGAATAAATTGCACTTAAATAATGTCAACAATACTATTTTAATCTTTGGTTTTATTTATATTTGCAAACAAAATTATAATGTTTACATTGTTATTATTTGACAGCTTCCGCAAATGTTGTAAACGCTACGCGTCGCCACCGTCGCGCACATAGTCAATATTACCACTACATTCTGTGCCACTACGACTAACTTGGATTAAGTTTCTGATAGTAATTAAAGTTCAGGCTACTCAAATTTTTTCAAGTAAATGATGCTTTCAATATCAAGCTTCCGTAGAATAGGTACTTCTAGGTGTAATGACCTACCTCAACAGAGAGATGGCCGGTGGTGGAATTATACTGCAATCCGAGCAGTAGTTCTGGAGCAGATCTAGTACTGCAGCAAGATGATGCGGAGTCTGACCGCGCCAGACTGCACGCCTCTCCGCCTGGACCTGTGCCTGGCGTCGTCACCGTCGCTATGGACGATGGACTCGCCAGCACACCTGACATCGAGTGGTTCAGCTCTAGTTTTGGAAACTGGTAAGAGAAAAACAAAAATTTGTTGAGATACAAATTTCTAAGTTTCGAAGAATTCAAGACCAAGCCTGTCCGTGTCAATATTAATTTTTAAAAGGTAAGCAAGAGACTCTAAGGTAGATTGTAATTGATGATAGATCTACCAATGCTAATAACGAAATTGGTTTCATTTATATTAGTAAAATATTATTTAAAGATTTTTTAGACGTTATCAGTCTGTACCAAAATTTTATAAAAAAATGTGCACTAAATTAGGTGAAAAGGCTAGTAAACAAACTCACCTTGCTAACTTGTAAGCTGGGATGATGTTGGCGCGGAGTCAATTGTATCCACATGCCGTTTTCCATCTCCAAGCTGAGTGAGGCAAAGCTGACAGTTGCTTCACCCAACAGCCGTTGACGACGCATGCGCTCGCAGCCGTATATGCGTATACGCAAACCGAGGCCGTGTACGTCCTCTATAAAATTTTAAAAAATTAAGAAAATTATTCGATGGCTTCAAAAGACAAAATATGTATAAAAGAATTTCTAAGTTGCGATTGTATTTTTACTTGTCTTATGCTTATTAACCCTTCAGAGCTTCGAAAATTTCTACTTCAGGGTATTCAAGAAACAACAAGCCCATTGTTGTGTTTATGACTTCAGTTCTATTTCAATAATAATATAAGAGAATTGCTATTATATAGACTATATTAATATACCTGTAGTTTATTCAAAGTATTACGATAATACTCCACTCGGTCCACAAATAGCTCGGAGTTTACAGAATTTAGGATAAATAAACAGATTTCTGGAATAGCATATTATATTGGAGTATACTGTAATTTTAGTACAGTCTGTCGAATTAATATGTTTACGTTTCTCCAACATTTCGCAAGATCAGTTGAATTCTTTACTATACTTGTGAGAATAATATCACACACATATCAACAGCCTATAATATAAGTGGCCCCTGCTGACCAAAGGGTTTTTCTCACACGGAGAAGCTTTGAGCATTAACTCGTCGAGTACCGTCATTATAGACACAATTATAGAACAATAGGTTGCGGTCACTGGTGACCGCTTGGTGTTTGACAGTTTAATCACCAAGCTTGCTCAAAACGGATTAGCGATTCCCGACTTATAATTAGAAATTTTAAGCCCATATTTCCTCACGATGTTTTCCTTCACCGATTGTCAGTGGCGTCTAAATAATCTTAGAAAGTCCGAATTCGAAAAAGTCACATTGGTTGGTTACCACTTGCCGTTGGTAGGTTTGTGTGTGGAAATCTCGCTCTCAAGCATGAGAAGCTAGCGTCTATAGACTTAGAGTAATATCACATCGCACCTAAACTAAATATGCTTCGATAAAGTGACAGTCCACTGCTTGACTATATGCCGCATCGACAAAATAAAGCGTTCACCACGCAGTTGCAGATTGCTATTTAAAAAGTACTGTCCGATCTCAGTCAAATGCGTAGTCTCTTACGACAGTCGCGAGAAAAGGAGGGATGACAAATTGACATATAGTGAGATAAAGAAATGTCCAACGGTCAATTGGCCATAAAACAAAGTTACTACAAGTAATCAGGCCTAATATACCAGAATCCCTATAAGTAATCAGGTATATATTCTTCTGTAGTAGTAAAGTTTTCAGGTACGCAACTCACCCGGGTTGATCTTGTGGAACACGAAACTCTCCATGTACTGTGGATTTTCGCCATTCCTTATCTTTGACTTGTATTTTTGCTTTTTCAATGGCATTAATACAACTCGAACCTGCAACATGAGATGAGCTTAGATCACAAAATCAGTGTACCTTCCATCATGACCTGGATTTAATTTTTTGCTGTTGATAACTTGTTTATACTCTATTTGGCCTCTTTGATGGTACATATATCACGTTATCTACATAAGTAATGTTACCTGGCTCTGCAGTATTTGTCCCTGACTCCTCTGCGGCAGGGTCCTCGCCTGCAGAATGTGCACAGTCATGCTGCGGACCGGTGCATCATACAGCAGTGTTAGCTCCAAAAACCCTCGCACCTGGGAAATGCTCTCGGCGCAGAGGAGAGACGTATCCTGGTAACATATATTTGTTATTAATTTTTTTATTGAATAAGCCGGTTTACAAGCAGACGGATAACCTGGATGGTAAGCAATTGGCGTCGCCCATAGACACCCGAAACGCCCCTGCGTTACACGTGCGCTATCAGCCTTTTGGGAATTGGAGGATTGTGGGGGATTCGGGGATTGGGGAGACTGGGGAGGGAGGATAATGGGGCGTCTGGTAACTTCATTCACACGATGAAACACAACGCAAGCGTTGTTTCGTCGGTCGACGTCGGTTTTCTGTGAGGCCGTGGTATCACCCCGGTCGAGCCAGCCCCTTCGTGCTGAAGCATGGCTCTCCCCCACTTAATTCTTACATTAGTTTGCAAAAGCGGCAGAGAGGGCCAATCCCCCATCCACACTCTCCTCAAAAAGGGCCAGTAACGCACTGGTAACTCTTCTGGTGTTGCGGTTTGCGGATGTCCATGGGCGGCGGTGATTGCTTACCATTACGTGATCTATCAGCTCGTTAGACCCCCTGTCTTATCTCATTATAGTGGTGGCCCGGAGATGAAGACGTGCTTCTCATGCATGAGGGTGCGGTTTCGAAACCTAACCAACGGCAAGTACCAATGTGACTTTTTCCGAGTTATATGTACTATCTAAGGTTACTTAGACACCACTGACAAACGGTGAAGGAAAACATCGTAAGGAAACCTGGACTTATAATTTCTATTACATAACATAACATACATAACACCACGCCTTTTTATACCCAGAGGGGTAGGCAGATGCACCTAATGTGCACATTACGGCACTTAAATGCCACTGCACAATGTAACACCTACTTTTCACTATTTAGTTATGACCCTCATGTAATAAGGGGTGAGCCATATACCGGGCACAATTTCAGACCCCGTGCTACTACTGAGATTTTTTTTTAAAAGCCTGTTATATTTTGCCCGACCCGGGAATCGAACCCTAGGCCCTTGGCCGGCAGTCGCACTTGCGAACACTCGGCCAACGAAGCAGTAATTTCTATTATAAGTTTGTAATACCAACCTGCAATGAGCAAGCATGGTGATTAACCTCTTGACTGCCGGTATATAAGACACAATAGAAAATGCATTGTGTCTCGCGTAGATCTACGTTACGGCACACGACGGGTTAATGCTCAAACCTTCTCCGTTTGAGAAGACTGCTCAGCAGTGGGCAGGCAGGCTGTTGATGATGATCTTATCTCGTTAAAAATCTCAATCCACTTACATTGTGTGCTATGACATCACTGTCGACGCTGCTTTGCGCCTCCAGCGTGTGAATGTACTCCGCTCTCTTAGGGACCACCTCATCAATCTTGGTTTCTCTAAGCGCCGTCTCCCGAAGACTTGTCTCCCGTAACTTGTTCTCTACGAGTTCTACATCCAACTTCGGGGCTGCTGCATTCTCGTTCTTCTCTTCGTAGTGGCATTCCACCTCTTCCTTATCCTGAGGAATTCAGGGCACAAAGATATTGAGTAAGCAAGGAAAGGAATGAATGGTGATGTTTGGTGCAACGATATCGGCGAGACGTTATCACAAGTGAAACTGCGGACTCCTTAGAAATGCGTGTGGTGTTTAAAAAATCTAATTTGTGTTAGTTATTGTTTTGTCGTGTTATTTGTGGTTTTTTTAGATAAGTTTTATGACGTTTTTTTTTTCAGATAGACTGCACTTATATCCTTAAATCTAGTTTGGCACCAGAATTCAGTTAAAAGGAATATTTCTGTACAACCAGCGCAGTGCTGATTGATGATGCCTTGTAAATTCAGGGTGTTACACGCAACGAAAGTAATATGTTGTTTGGACAGAAAATATCTATATATCTACAAGTAGTTTCATAAGTAAGTTATAATTATGAAAGAATAAAGATTATAAATAGAAAATGAGAATAAAATTTACCATGCTTTAATGGAATAAAACTAATGATGTTCTACGTAGATAGATAATGTAAAAGCTCGTCTAGAGTCCTACCGCGAACAATATATGTATTCATTTATTGAAATCTCATTTGAAATTCATGAGATCCGCACAAGTGGTTGAGGAAATCTTCTGAATCCAAGATATTCCATTTCGAAGTGGGTACCGCTTCAACCAACATTTCAGACGGTCTTAAGACAATGGCAATAAGGACTATATTTAAGTCAATTGTATTTTAGTGCAATTCCGATTTCCATTCTGAAAGTACGATACTAGGAGCTATATTTATTTAATAGTGCAATACAGATAGTAAAATCAGTAGTGATGCGCTCAGGATATTGCGCAGTAGGGAGTTAATTGATGTAAATTATTGCAATCCCGGTTATTTCCGGACTGCACTGGCGTTCGCGTTAATGTGCCTAAATGAGACGCCCTAAATACCAGGGTTATATGAAGTTGTATTGACTGTTAAGCACCGAGGTGAGTCATACAAAACGAGTGTTTTTTTTAAGATCCAAGTAATGTCGACTATATCTATAGTAATGAATATATTAGAAGCGTGAACTATTGAAAGGAGAATAAATACAAGTGTCGAACGGTCTACTGTCTCACCTGTTGGATGCGCAAACGCAGCTCTTCATCCGAGTCGGACGCCTCGAACGTGAATATTCGTTCGGGGTAATGGTTCGGTTTCGACAAAGCATCTATAACAACACAGACGTACGGACAACGTCAATCGATGTACAATATTGCCCTAGCCCGAGCTAAACTACTCTAACTCTTACTTATAACTACTGAGTTCTAGCATTATAGTTGTCTACGGTTTCTAACTGTGTAAACAAACACCTAGATATAACAAGTATAAAGAAATGAATACGAGACCTTGATGACGCACACGACGTCCTTGAGGGTACATTAAACACTAAATTAATGAATATTACTTCTTCTATACTACACAATAACGTTCACAAATGACTCCGCTCTATAACGAAATCAAATGTACCTAAGTACATCATTTTTTAATCACAAAATCAATAGCCACAGGTTTATTTATAAAGGTAAAGCATTTCACATATCTATGCTTGGAATTTATAGGGGACATTATTGTAACGTGATCATTTAACATCTATTGTGTTAGCAACAAAGAAAACTTCGGTACCTTTCTAATGAAATATTTATTAACGACATACAGTAGCTTAGTAACACAAAAGCAAAACAAAGAGTTGGTACTCACCAAACTGAGCATTGTCGAGGGGAAGACAGGGGGCAGCGACGTGCGCGTTCACAGCGAGGATGTCATCACAACACTTGCGGGTGAAGACGGCCGTGTAGCACCAGCGTCTGCCCAGGAACAGCAGCAGCACCAGCACCACCACCGCGAACGCCGCTACCGCGCTTATGTACGCTGTCGCCTCCACTGTGCACACCAACAACACTCAGCACCACTCGCTAACCACACCAAGTCAGCTCCTCACAAACATGTTTACCATTAGACGGGTTGATGACGCCGATGGTGGCCACCATCCTGGCTCACTGGGAGCCCGCGGGCCGCATCGCTGCGCGCTCCGCTCTCACCCCCACTCACAGTTCCCACTTATCTAGTATGAGACATTCGTTGAATATCTCAGTGGAATATAATGCGACAATAAAGCGAACTGAGGAAAATAATTGGGACGTGTTGGCACGGTCGGGCTGTCAAAGTGCTGCACATGCGCCGTACGCGAGGGGCACGACGGGGCGTGTGGAATATTCTGCGCGGCTATAGGACGAAGGATTTAGTTACAGGTGTACTGTGTACGTATACGTATACACGTACGTATAGCGAGGAGCTTGTCGTCAAGGCCGAGGGCGGCACGTGCCTCGCACCCTTCGGTTATACATGCTTACACAATTATAGCTAAGTAATGATGTAAATATGCTTACTGGACCTGTCAAGGTTTGCATAAGTTATAACTTACAAAGATTAAAGATTTTCAAGGGCCACCATGAGTAAGTTTATAAAATAATCTATATATATAAAAGAAAGTCGTGTTAGTTACACCACTTATAAGTCAAGAACGGCAGAATAGATTTGGCTGGAAATTGGTAGGGAGGTAGCTTAGAGCCAGGAGACGGACATAGGATACTTTTTAACCAATACTTTTCTTTTACTTTTTACCGAAAATCACGAACGAGGACGAGAAAAAATGGGATTACGCGTACGAAGTCGCGGGCAGAAGCTAGTATATTATAGTTAGGCAAAAGACATTTACTGAAAATAGTTTAACGATACATATTACACATGATATGTGAGTTACGCACTTATGGTTAGTGTGTATCTACATGGGCTACGTGTACATCACTCCAACGTTGCAATTAGGACATTGGAGATCTGCCAGAGATGTAGCTGCAGCGCAATACGTCACTCACACTTAAAACCCAGAGGATTTGTGTAAATGTAAATAAACTGCACATCCGTAGGGAAGCTTTCAGTAAATTAAATATTATTCAGGTGCTTTATATTTAGAAATATATTCAATGGTATCCAATCAGGAAAAGAAAACAATACAATTCTGTGTGTAAGTGAGACAGATGTAGCCATTTATATGAGAGAGCTAAACGCATAGTATAATCAAGTCATTTATATCCAGAGATCCAATAGCGTTTAGCGTGTTATTGATCCCAACCGATTAAACAAAAACCGGTATCGGTAATTAATATACAATATACAATATGATACTGAATACTGCATATTTGTACATGACTTCTAATAGAGTGGGTCAAAGATGTACTGAACACCTGGCATCGTCCTTTTACAAAAGAAATTAATAACTCATTTCATTAATGAACAATGATAACAATTAGACTAGGTACTCTAAAAGCCAATAGATACTAATATGACTTATCCTAAATTGAAAAAAATAAGTTGGCCAAATGGCTAGGTAAGGTTACCGAGCCATTTATCCAAATTAACTCTAAAAAATGTAATAACTAGTATCTCCTCTTAGCCCTTTAAGTACCATACCGTAACGTAGTAGCGGTGACCGCAACCTATTGTTCTTAAATTGTGTCTATAATGACGGTACGTTACTCAAAGAGTTAATATCGTTTTAAGATTTATATTACAATTATTGTAATAATAATACTTATAACTTACTTATGCTTACCACCAGGCGAGAGGGTGGCCAAACTTCGGCCCATCAAATATATAAAAAATATCCTAGCATCTACTATTTCTCATCACAGTTAATCAATTTATTTTCTGGATTACTTTTTAATTATCCCTTGTTTGGTAAATATTACAGCTCGTCTTGTATGTTCTTATTGATAGTTCGTTTAATAAAAAAGACTTTCAATTTTTATTTATGCTCTATTAATTTTTATTCCCTACCATCAATAATACTAAGGGCCTATTTCACAATGTCCGGTTAGGTCCGAATCTTCAACACTCAGTTAATTCTTAACTATAGAATAAAATTGACATTACACAGTTTTTAGTATGGCAGAATTGTCAAATATTCGAAGTTATTCCTCAGTTAAGAATTAGCTGATGATTGAAACATCGTTATCCTAAGTTGTTATTTTAACAAAAATATCGTATGAAAACTCCCCCAAATCATACGTAAGACTAAAATAAATTTAATCAAACATGAAGAAACTAAGTCATTATACTAATAAATAATGTTATACTTAGTCATTTGTTTTTTTTTTAAATTCATGTAACAAATGAACATTTTCATCGAACTTTGATTATTTCATTTAAATTTGACTGTGAGGAGCCATTAAACTTCTTATTACTTAACAATAGTTCAACAATTAGACTAGTCATTTAACTATAGGTAGGTAGTCTATCTTTTTTAATTTCTTATAACAAAGTTTATTAGCTTTAGTTAAGTTCTCTGAGAGAATTTTTGCAATATTTTTAAATTCATAATATGTCTATGTATTATAGATACCAATGTACAGTGAGCATTTATTTATTCAATTCATTTGTTTGTGATTTGTTTTTGTCATGTATATTTAGTATTATTATAAATATTGCAATAAATAAGTATGGTTGAAACAAAAAAGTTTCATAAAACACCTTATTTTTTGGTAATAAAAAATGGTTTAAAATAATAATAATAATAAATCAACAATAAAACGCCACATTAATATTTTGAAAATGTTTTTTTTATTAACACTTACATTTTTACAGCGCTCCTAGCCAACAGAGTAATACTATAAAATGAATCGGTGTAAAGAACTGTCGAACGCAAAACAATGTTAGTTCTACAGTGTACGATAAACAAACCGCTTACAAAGATCAGATCATTACAATAATATCATCAACGACTATTGTCAGTGAGATGTACATCGTTCTCATCAAACAAGCACAGAAGGTCACCCTAAAGAAACGAACTTCATTTAAATCTATAAACATTTCATATAATTTAGATTTTATTAGTCGCTATAATGTTATATTTTACTTTTGTAACCATTATTATAATGTTATATGTATTCGTTACGAAAAATTGAAATGAATCGCTCCACTTGGTCCTTGGCGGGTGCGTGAGTGACTCGTGAGTCGGCCGCTCGCGCGCTCGGCGTACGATCCTGCCTACCGCGGCCGCGCAAGGGCCAAGTGCCGACTAAAACAAGATCACTCTATCATAACTGTATAATTTTAAAAATTTCTAATTACGCATCCCTACGTTTTGTTTATTATCTTTTAATTAAGAAATAAAATCTTACGTAATTACCATGAGCAGCCTATTTTAATAAATTTGACAAAATTCGCTAATAATCTGATTATTTTAGAAAAGAAAAGCGTCGGGTCCGGTCCGGGCCGGGCGGGCCGCCTGACGAGACAACAACAATAGTCGACGGCAGTGCTGTATGTAGTGTAGCGGTGCGACGCGCGCGCACCGCCCCCCGCGCCTCTAAGCGATCGCGACTGTGTATGCTTTATTTATCTACTTTTACAATTGAAAATACGGCATCAAAATTTCAACTACCTACCTAACAGTAAGCAGTAGTACACTAAAACTCAGGCACTCCACATCGACCTCTCATACACCATGCACCCGATCGAATCTTCAACTAAACTTTTTTCCACTCGAAAAATTCAACTTAAATCTAATTCACTTAAATTATAATAATAATAATGGCTTCTTAACTGTTAATTTTACAACAAATGCGTTTCGTTGGCCGCCGAGCACGGAGCGCGGCGGGCGTCATACTTCTGCCCACTCGATTCACGAACGATGAACTACCGCTAAACGATAATTTATTACTTATTACATAAGTATGTGAAAAACAATTTATTAGTATTAGTTTTAATCTATCTTATAATGTCATCAGTGTCACTGAGGGCGTACTACTGTAACATGAATTCCGAGTCGGCGGCCGCTTGCGCGTGACGTCGAGCGTGGTGCGACGACGGGCCGCGGCCGGCGGCGGGGGCCCGGCTGGCGGCATGCAGGGGCCCGGCAGGGGCAGGGCGGCCCGCCGGGGCCCCGCCAGGCCCGCGCTACCCGCCCGCCGCCGCCGCGACGCTACTCATCAAATATATAGAGATTCAACAAATATCGAAAAGATTCATCAAATTGTCGCATGACAGTCGAGATACTCGAACGTTTTAAACGATCTCGATACAAAAATAACATGATTCACGATTTAAAATAATATGTGTATAATATTTTTTTATATCATCACAAATATCAACTTCATTCTCCACTGTGCATATATACATACATAGTTCGTTAGAAACGATAGTGTAAGTGTGCGGTGGCGAGGGGCGGGCGCGGGCCCGACCGGCGCCAGCGCAGCCGCGTCCTCTCGGTCACATTACGCAATGAAACATCAGAATAACATAGAACACTCGACAGGTACAGACACAGGTGCCCCTGTGCGGAGCGATGCGGTAACAAGCGGTGAGAAGCGTACACGACAGCGATTACACATATACCGGAACGGCACCGCAAACCTCTGTCAGTCTGATATAAGAACACAAATGAACTTTATGTACGCAGTAACTAACTGATGCACGACGGTGTGGACAGTGGTCGGTGCGGTTTAGTAGTAAGTCTCTTGTTCGAGCCAGCCGCCGGGGTTGCGGCGCAGGTAGAAACGTCGGATCTCGTCGTAGATGAAGATCGACAGCATGAATGGAATGGCAGGCAGCCACCACACGAACCTGCAGACAAAGAAACACATCGTGAATACTTGCTTCAATTGACCAGATTTCAAGTAGTGTAGGAAGTGGTCCAGTATACTCACTTCAGAGGGTACATCCTCAATCCCTTGTCCATTCCAGGCGTGTAAGAGAGGAATGCAGCCAGCGCGGTTTCAAAGATCAGACCGAAGTTGAGAGCCCAGTTGCGCATGCCCTGGTGGATGATCGAGTTACGGCGCGTCTTGCAAATGATCAAATCAGCCCACTGCACCACCACGATGGAGACGAAGAAAGCGGTGTGGCAGGTAAACTCGAGAGCCTTGCGGTCGCGGTAGGTCTGGAAACCAGGGAAGTATTATTATCAAATGATGAATATAATAAAAAATAGAACATTGATATAACACAGCTGAGAAAGACAATGAAGTACAAGATCAATTTAATTGTCTGAAATGACCAGATATTGCGGTTAATTTTTTAACTCGTTCTGATAATGATCTCATTTCCTGTCTTTCTCATTGTATAATGTGATAATTG